ATGCATATTTTCACATCTCTATCATAGCAAAACACAGGAGTTACCTCAGGGTCACGCTAGGTCAAGACTGCTACCAGTACAGAGTACTCCCTTTCAGCCTTTCATTGGCCCCCAGTGTGTTATCCAAGGTCCTTTCGGTAGTGGCAGCCCATCTACGGTCTCAGGGTATCGTGATTTTTCCATACCTGGACGATTGCCTTCTCAGGACACGGTCCTTTGCAGAGGCCCAGTGAGTCATTCAGACCACACAAGACTTATTTCTGAGACTGGGCCTACAAATCAACGAACAAAAATTGTCCATAACACTGGTTCAAAATCTAGTGTTTATAGGAGCCGACCTTGACTCCATTCAGGCGAGGGCGCTCCTACCATATCACAGATTTCTCAGTCTCTCCTCTTTGATAGAGACAATACAATCCAGCCCTCAAATCTTGGCCAGATAGTTTCTGGGGCACATGGCCATGGGCACATCAATCATTGCTCATGCCAGACTATGCATGAGAGGCCTCCAAGCATGGTTGGGCTTGGTATACAGACCAAAGAAAGACAATATAATCAAGCTCCTGTCAGTGCCCATCATAGTCAAGCAATCCTTGAACTGGTGGAAGGACCCAATGAATGTTCGCATGGGGATCCCATTCGGTCAGTTTTCCCCATCCCTTCTTCTGACCACTGATGCATCCCTCATAGGCTAGGGAGCTGTCATAAATATAAAGGGAAGGGTAACAACCTTCCTGTATACAGTACTATAAAATCCCTCCTGGCCAGAGGCACAAAATCCTTTTACCTGTAAAGGGTTAAGAAGCTCAGGTAACCTGGCTGGCACCTGACCAAAAGGACCAATAAGGGGACAAGATACTTTCAAATATGGGGGGGAGGGGAAGGATTTGTCTGTCTGTTCTGTGTACTTGCCAGACACAGATCAAGGAAGCAAGCAATCCAACTCAATTAGAATTAGTAAGTACTAGCAAGGGAATGCGTTAGCTTATTTTTGTTTTGGTTTGTGATTTTCTCTGTGCTGAGAGGAAGGTGTATTCCTGGTTTTCTTTTTGTAACTTTAAAGTTTGGCCCAGAGGGAAATCCTCTGTGTTTTTGAATCTGATTGCCCTGTAAGATTATCTTCCATTCTAATTTTACAGACATGTTTCTTTTACCTTTTTTCTTTATAATAAAGTTCTGTTTCTTTTAGAATCTGATTGGGGTTTTTTTAGTGTCCTAAAAAAACCCAAGGTTGGTCTGTGTTCATCTTGTTTATTCTCAAGCCTCCCCAGGAAAGGAGGTGTGGAGGCTTTGGGGGATATTAGGGGGCAGTAGGAACTCCAAGTGGTCCTTTCCCTGAGTTTGTCAAAATCACTTGGTGGTAGCAGTGTTATCTAATCCAAGGTACAAGGGAGAATTTGTGCCTTGGGGAGTTTTTAACCTAAGCTGGTAGAAATAAGCTTAGGGGGGTCTCTCATACTCTAGAGTTCAGAGTGGGGAGGGAACCCTGACAGGAGCACATCTCAGTGGTTGCACTGTTCATGGCAAATGCTTCCTGTCAGAGATATGTCTCCACATCAACCTGCTGGAGCTCAGAGCGATTTGAAATGCATGTGCTCACTTCCTCACACTGATGAAGAACATGCACATGAAGGTCATAACAGACAACGTGGCCTGTATGTACTACATAAACCATCAAGGAGGCACCAGATCTCATTCTTTGTGCACAGAAGCTCTGAAGCTATGGAATTGGTGCATCTCCCACAACATCCTAATAGCAGCAGCCTACCTACCAGGAATATACAACACAACAGCTGACAGCCTCAACTGCAAGTTCCTGCGTGACCATGAATAGGAAGTAGAGCCAACCATTTTACATGATATATTCCAGCAATGGGGGTTGCCACAGATAGACTTGTTCGCTATCTACCAGAACAAGAAATGTCTGCCTTATTGCTCCAGAGCAGGGATCAGACGACGCTCCAAGGGAGACGCTCTCCTCATCCCTTGAAACAAGTGCCTTCTTTAGGAATTTCCTCCATTCCCTCTATTGCTAAAGGTGCTATTGAAGATAAAAAAGGAAAAAGCAAACATTCAGATTGCCCCCACCTGGCCCAGACAGACATGATACCCTTCCCTGTCCCAGCTGGTGTTGTGTCCACCGATGACCCTACCGATCATTCCCTGTAGTCTGTCACAGAATGAGGGTTGCACCCTTCATCCCAGTCCATGTGTCCTACATCTCAAAGCATGGCTCCTTCATGGTTCCAGCACATAGAGACATCCTGCTCAGAGGAGGCACAGGAGGTACTAATCCACAGTAGGAAGGGTGCTACTTGTCGCATCTACCTGCAGAAATGGAAGGGATTCTGGATATGGTGCCAATCCAAGGATGTCACCCCTAATTCAGCCACCTTGCGGGTCATCCTGGATTCTCTGTTACCCTTAAAGAAATCGGGTCTCTCTATTAGCTCGCTGAATGTTCACTTGGCAACAATTGCAGCCTTCCACCAGCAGGGTAGAAGGCTACTCAATCTTCTCTCAGCCGATTAATAAGAGGTTTCTAAAAGGTATAGCAAACCTCTTCCCACAATCCAGGACCCCTACTCCTCAATGGGATCTCAAACTAGCACTAAAGGAACTGACTAGACCGCCATTCAAACCCATGGCCACTTGTTCATTAACTCACCTTTCCATGAAGGATGGGGGAGATAGCAGTTTTGATGGCACACCTCCTGTTTACAGTGTTCTTCCCGGATAAGGTCACACTCAGACCACACGCGAAGTTCACTCCCAAAGTAACTTCTGCATTTCACATGAATGAACTCATTCAACTCCCAACATTCTATCCAAAAGCCTCATACGGACAATAGAGAGGCCATCCTGCATACACTCAATGTGACAGAGCTTTGGCCTTCTACTTACACAATATAAAGGCCTTCCGAAAATCTCTGAGGCTCTTCCTTTCAGTTGCGGTTAGGTCAAAGAATGCGGCAATCTCAGCTCAGAGACTATCCAAGAAGGTCTCTGGCTGTAATAAACTCTGCTACCAATTACAGGCGGTAACACCCCCATCTTCAATACGCACGCATTCCACAAGGGTGGTCTCCTCATCAATCGCCTTCTCTAAAGGTATCACCATATCAGAGATATGCAGAGCAGCTACATGGGCCTCTGCACATACCTTTGCAGAACACTATGCCATTCTGAGTGATTCAGCTTCAGATGCCCAATTCGGGGCTTCTGTACCATCATTTGTATCAGACTCCGAAGTCCCAGGTTCCAACAGTGTGTACTGCTCAGGAGTCACCTACAGTGGAGCATCCATAGCAACACTACTTGAAGAAGAAGAAGAGGAAGTTACTTTGTGCAATAACGATGGTTCTTCAAGATGTGTGTCCCTATGGGTGCTCCACAAACCTCCCTCCTCCCCTCTACTTTGGAGTTTCCACTGGTTGACTCTGGGGTAGAGAAGGAACTGAGGGAGAAATGCCTCTGCACGCTAGCTAGCCTTGTGGTAGGCAGGGAGCTGCACAGGCGGGACAGATTGCTATTGAAATTCTCCAATCAACAGCATGGGGGTGCACACACACCTACAGGGGAGCACCCATAGGGACACAAGTCTTGAAGAACCATTGTTACTGCACAAGGTGAGTAACTTCCTCTTCTTTGACATATGTTGTGCAGATATATGTTCCATGACTCTCCCACTTTCCCGTCTACTTCACACATAGGTGTCGAACTACGGGGTGCTGGGGGTGCTGCCATACCCCTTGGTTTGAAATGATTTCCATTATATACAGGGTTTACAGTTTGGTTCAATGGCTCTCAGCACCCCCACTATAAAAATTGTTCTAGTACCCCTCACTTCGGACATTACATACAGCAGTGTGAAGGAACGGAGAGGGAGGTGGTGGATGTGCCCCTTTTATGGTTTCATCTGGGAACCTGAGCAGAACGGGAGCACATGCACCACCTAGTGCTACTGCTGGCAAAAGTCTCCAGCTCAAGTGCATTGGGACACGTACATTTGCAGTGGAATGTATATGTGCACAATACATCTTAAAAATTACAGGTACTGCATAAGTAAGTACCCAGCTTCTGTGAAAAAGTGGTGTTAAACTACCCCTGCACTAGCTTGCTGCACTCTAACTGTCCCTGTGCACCGTGGTGATGCACAATAACAGTTCATTAATGTGCTTTGATCTAGTCCTTTTTCAAAGAGAACTAGATTTAATGCGCATCAGCAAAGGCCACACAGACAGTGAGCGTGTGGCAGGCTACCATGGGGTAGATTCACACCCCAGTTTGCCATAAACTAAATGTTTTTGTAGACTGGTCCCCACATCTACGCTATTGCTTTTATCAACCAAACTTTAATCTCATTAAAAAAAGAGATTGTTAATTTGACATCATCTATTTTCCATAAACCTGTGTTGATTGGCATTAACTTTATTACCCTCCTTTAGTTCTTTATTAAACAAGTTTCCTTGCAGCCATTCTGTTATTTTGCCTGAGACTGACGGCAGACTGACAGGCCTATAATTACCCAGGTAATCCCTTTTATGCTTTTTAACTATTGGCACAAGATTAGCTTTCTTCCAGTCCTCTGAAACTTCCCCAATGTGCCACAAAGCTCCTTGGCCAGCTCTTTTAAAACTCTTGAATGCAAGTTATCCAGATCTGCTGACTTAAAAATGTCTAACTATAATAGCTTGCTGGGTGTTTAACATCCTCCTTAGTTATGCTGGAATTGGAAGTATATCATCATCATATATGACTACATCATCTGGCATTTTCCTAAATATAGAATAGAAATATTTATTGAACAATTCTGCCTTTTCTGCTTTATTATTGATAGTTCTACCATTTCTGTCTAGTAATGGACTAATCGCATTGTGAGAGAGAAGACATGTCCACCTCCTTGAGGGCTCTAGGCCAGTGTATAGGCAGAGAGAGAATGTGCTCAGAATGGTCTTTGTATGCTAAATGCTCAGACTTTGCCTTCTCTTTGACTGCAGGACAACAAGGTTAATGGTGTAACCTGCTGTACTCGGATGCTAGGCTGCACGTACTTACATCCTTGGATCCTGCCCAAGCCTCACGTCTACTCCATTCCCCTGACTGTGCAGGATGAGCTGCTCCTACTGGGGAATAAAGCCCTCTGGGAACACCTCTCTTATACAGAGGCTGTCACGGCTGTACGCCACCTGCATGACCCACTAGCTGCTGCAAAGAAGGTCTGCACTTTAGCCCAAAGCTATGGCTGCCAAGACAATGTGGGAGCAATGGTGGTGTGTTTGAACATTGGTGAGGACAGCTGCACATGTGAGATGCACGGCCTCACCTTGCCGGGCCCTGGGGGCATTATTTCCACTGCCAAACCAACAACGCCTTCCTCAGGTAGTGGAATTGCCTCAGAGTTCAGCAGTGAGCTGTCAGCCTCAGAAGCTAGCAGTGAGGTGGGCTCCACTGCGTCAGATGAACACAGTGGAGCTGGTCTGGATGCAGGGTTGGTGCCTCGACCCGAGCGACGCTGCAGCCTCCATCCTGTGCCCCCATCCAGCATTTTTCAGCGCCAACCTTCCTGTGCCACGTTCTCTAGTAATCATTCTGACAATGGTCTGGACAGCGACGATGAGCAGCCTGTGGAGGGTGTGATGACCAATGGCAGCAAAGTGGAGGTGGAAGTGGACATCCACTGCTGTAAAGGAAAAAGCCTGGAGCCTCGGCCTCCTGGTGCTGAGGAGGGATCTCCTGCTGCTGGCTCAGAGGATGACTCTGGGGGGTTCTTCTTCAGGATTCAGAGACAGAACAGTGTGAACAGCAACATCCTCCTGGCAGGAACCAAGGAGAGGTGCGAGTTGCAGAAGTCTCCTTCTACATGCTGTCTCTATGGGAAGAAGCTTTCCAATGGCTCCATAGTGCCCCTGGAAGAGAGCCTCAACCTTATTGAGGTAGCCACAGAGGTACCGAAGAAGAAAACAGGTTATTTTGCTGCTCCCACCCAGCTGGAGCCAGAGGATCAATTTGTTGTGCCTCCTGACCTGGAAGAGGAAGTGAAGGAACAAATTAAGCAGCACCATGGGAGTGGTGCGGAGCAGGAGCCCAATGAGAAGGCTGCAGTGGCTCCTCCAGATGAGTTTGACACAGCTTTGTAACCCCATCGGGGCAGAGGAGTTGGCATCTGCAAGGAAAGGAACAGACATCAGCTCCCTCCTTATTGGAGTGGAGGATGAGCCTGGAGCTTTAAACTCAGGGCTGCCAGCTTCTTGAGGCAGCATCCCTGCTGTTCTGTGAGCCCAGGGTACTCAGGCCAGCAGCCAAGCTCCATGCTGGGGATTGTCTGGCAATTGAGAAGGCAGACTTCCCTATGTGTGGTCCCACCACCTGCCATTAACCCTTGCCCTCCTGAGGATTTGCCAGGCAGTGGGCTGGTTTCTGTGTAGGAGCTGAGGAGGCAGCTGTTGTTATGCACAGCATCCAGAGTTCTGTGAAGTATCTGATTCAGCCATCATGATGGGACTGGTCACTTGGCTTCACTATTCAGAGAATACAGCTGGTCACAATGAAGCTTACTAGAGACACAGAACCAGTCAGAGAATTGATTCTTATATGCATCGCAAGCACTTTCATTGACTGCACTCGAGCCATTTTGCTCCCCATCTGCCCAGCACTTTACTATGTAGGGAGAGGGGCTTCCGTAACCTCACAATGGATATGACGGGGGGATTCCTCCGAATGGGAATTGGTGCCCTCCTGATAGGTACCCCAGGGGCCCTGGGGGAGCTGAGGTAGTTCTGTCACCACTTGTTATGAGGTTATCTAGGGGCTTCCTGCCAACCTGAAGGGTACAAGCGGGACATGAGGGCTGGGTGCCCCAATGACAGATATGACCATGAGGCATGGAGGAGTTCCAGGAGGGGTTTGGCTGTCCCCATAACAAATATGATCGTGGGTAGGGATGGGGCTAGTGTGTACAACCATAGGGGATAGGGGGTTGGCCACCGTCCTGGTGTGCACTTCAAGGCAGAACCTTCCATATCCGCCAGACATGGGATGAAGTCAGAATCCCCTGCAAAGCACAGAGTCTGTGCTCTTTGTGGTGCCCTCAGCTGGCAGAAGCTAAGAAGTGTGAGCGGGGGGACTTCATCTTGTCCATCGGGGTGTTTTGTTTGTAGCAGTAAAGGCTAATGAGCAGCCTAGAGTGCTCTGCATGTGCCAAGATGGTTCATTTCACAAGCACTCCCTCTAATACACATGGCGAAATATGAACCTCTTACACTGCAGCAGCAAAAGCGCCCTTGCCTGTCTCTGCAGAAGCAGAAAGCAGAATCAGTGTCCAGGACTGCCCATGCTCCAGCTGCAAGTGCTCAGACCAGGAAGTGAACAAGATGAAGCTGTGTGGTTTCTGCTTAGTTCTAAACTCAAGATGGAAAATGGAACTTTTGGAAAAAAGGATTTTAGAACAACTCTGGAGAGTAGCAGTGAGCTGCCCAGCATCCAGTCAGCAAATGTGTTCCAGTTTCCACCTTCAGGGCCTGGATGGGCCAGTATGCAGCGTGGTGCCCTGCTAGCACTTTTCTGGCTGTTTTTCCAGGATTTAAGCATTCATCTTTACAAAAGGGTTGCAAAGACAACCTTCCATCTGTGATCCAGGCAGATCATCTTCCTGAGTCTGCAGCCCAGGAGTTGGGAACAATAGCTCTGAGGTGGGAGCTGCCTCAGTAATTTCAGGGTATGTCTACACTACAATTAAACATCTGTAGCTGGCCTGTGTCAGCTGGTTTGGGCTCCAGAGCTATTTATTTGCAGTGTAGACATTCAGGCTTGGGGACCCCACAAGGAGGGAGGCTCCCAGAGCCTGGGATCCTGCCCGAGCGCAAACATGTACACTGCAATTAAACAGCCCCGAGCCCTATAAGCCTGAGTCAGCTCTATACAGGCCAGCCCCAAGTGTTTAATTGCAGTGTAGACATACCCTCAGTGGTATGACAACACTGATAGCCTCATTATGACATTATTTGGGACTAGTGCTAGTGTTATTTTACTTATTTATTATGTCTAGGAAGAAAGTCTGAAAGGTTTTTCCAAAAGAGTTCTGGGCTTTTGGGGTGAGTATTATTTTGTCTGGTGTGTTTGGTTTTTGCTTCTCTTTTATATCAGAAAGTCAGGTCTTGTCTGACCTGGAATACTCAATGTACAATTAGAGAACTAGTGGGATTCTGACATCATAGATCCTGTGAGAAAACGTGATAGCGGGGAAGTAGCTATTATTCAGAACGTAAAACTCCTTGGCTTTGTCTTCACTAGGGGAAAAATATGTCTTTTTACTACATGGTAGCCAACATCCTAGCCCTGCTAACGTGCGTGGAAAGAACTGCCTGATCCACATAAGGGGCTATTCCGCACTAGAGTCGGTACCATAGTGCAGCTACCAGAGACACTCAATGCCGATGGAAGAGAGCTCTGCTGTCGGCATAATAAATCCGCCAACACAGCACTGTCCGCACTGGCGCTTAGGTCGGTGCAACTTACATCGCTCGGGGGGGTGGCTTTTTCACACCCCTGAGTGACATAAGTCATACTAACATAAGTACTAGGGCGTACAAGCCCTAGGATTTCATCATGTTTAATTACCACGTTAGCTAATGTCATAGAAAATCGCCTCTTTCCCATAGGATGGTCTCACCCTTTGAGTTTTGTTAACACCTATTTTAACTTAGAAGTTGGGAGAAAACCTTTTTGTTAAAGATTCGAAACCTCTGCTAGTTCTATCAACCTAGAGAGAATTAAGGGACAAGAGCGCTCCCACACTGTCTCTGAGTTATCCAAGGAGTCTACAGTGAAAAGAGGAAGACCAAAAAAATTATTTAAAAAACAAAACAAAAAAACCTTTCAGGTTCTCTTCCTTAAAAGAAGCAAAAATTGCAGGTCCCCTTTAATTCTTTCACTGCTGATAATTTTAACAAACTCCTGAGCTAGCCCAGTAGTCTCAGAAGCACTACAGAAGAGCTGCAGTACAGCCTCTTATACAGTCTTGGACTAATGCACTGACATGGAAATGTGCCCCTCTTCCTGAGTAAGAATGTGAATCGAACCCTTGCACTAGTACACTAGTATGTGCTATTACAAATAAGGTTCTGTACTGGAATCCTTGCACTGATGTGGAAAATCCAGCATGTGTCTCCGACTAGTAATTAGATTCTGAACATGATATCTGGGCTCCAACTAACCTGGGCTGTGAGGGAGTGTTGCAGCTGTCATTGAGAGGACTGATTTTATCAGCTCTGTATGGCTCAGTGGAAAAAGTGCAGGTAAAAGCAAAACAGACAGTTCAGGTGGAGTGTATAGATACAGAGCCTCCATTGGGTGGAGCTGCTGAAGTAAAGGCTAATTGTGTACAGTGATCATCACTTAGGATTTTCTCTAATCCTATGTATTTGGAGCAGAAAGAGGTTTTAATGTGACCAGCTCCCTCCCTCCAACTCCTGTACACTCATTGGTTAGTGGTGGAGTCCTTGCACAACATGGCATGTTATCATAGACGCCAATCAGAACAGAGGGCTTCCTCTTGCTCTGATACATTGCTCTAATGCACGTCTTATGAGAAGAGTGTTTCACTCCAGGCTGCACAGTCTGAGCTTCCCCCTCTTCCTGGCCTCTTGATTTCCTGCTTTCCATGGGGCAGCAAGCTTCTTCCTTGTCTTTCCCAACTTACTTCTTGTTTTCTTATATTTTCAAGCTCCTAGGAACCCTGTCACCCAGGTGGGGACAGGCTGGGCTGGTGGGGGCAGCCCTAGTGATGGGTTCTCAGCTGAGGGTGAGGTGAAGTACAAAGAAAGAGGAGTTTCCCATGCTTATTTCAATTTCTATCTGACCAGAGTTCTCCATAGCCTCTTCTTTTTCCTGATGATGATCTCAGGCCGTTGCACAGTTGCTGTCATCTCTGCAGGCTTGCAGCAGTGGAATCTTGACCTGGGGGTTGTGGCCACTCTCCCCTTCCTCTAGTGATAAAAATATGGAAAAGGTTGAGAACCACTGACCTAGAGCATCTGTGTAATAAAGAGACTGTCCATGGAAGAGAAGTTGGAGCTGTCGTTTTCCCAGTGAGGGGCTGCAGTTTGCCGGTTAGTATTATTCCATCTGTCAAGTCTCAAGTATTTCTCTCCTTCTTGGTGTGCACTTTCAACAGCAGCAGATACTCCTAAGGCACTAACTTATCTGCTTTACTTGTTCAATAAGGTCCCAGTAGAAGGAACTAATGAACAAAATATCTGATATAAGAGCAAACTAATTCCAAGGCAAAAAGTATTGAGGATAAGAAATCTTGGCCAGTTAGCAGCCTCCGAATTGCTCCCAGCTGCCTAGAGCAGATGAGGCTGAGGCTGCCTGATGGAAACTGCTGACTCCTAAACTGTGGGGCGAGGGTTAATTTCATTCCAGAAAGTGACAAGCACTTCAGGATACTCTCTCTGTCATGGGGATAGGTTGCTCTTAAGATCTACCACCCTTTCTCTAGTTTACATAACATACAGCCACATCTATGGTCCTCGTAACCCAGGAGTTTCTCCACCTCTCCTGAAGGATGTAGGTTTTATGCCAAAGGGCGTTAAGGCAGTGGGTTCACGTCATAGTTTTTGTGCAATCATTGTCCGCTGTTCTATTGCAATCTTCAGACTTGTGTATTTTTGATATTTTTGAAATGTGTTAACTTTTTTAACTTGTCACATGAGCTAGAGCATGTTAAAGAGAAATTGCAGCAAAACGATTTTCCATGCCTTTGTTTTAAAATGAAGCATATACTATTTTATGTACCTTACTCTAGCATGCAGCTATAACAATGCCCCTCTTTCATTGTGTGTGGAAGTAGATTGTTATACTGAATGCACCTTCAGCACTGCACCCACTGTATGTGACAGCAAAAGGAGGAAGAGCCTTGGGGTGAAAATGTGATTCCATTGATTCTTTACTAAGATATACAGAACAGTTCAGAAAGGAAGAATATTTTTGATCAACTTTTCAGCGGACATAGCAATAAAGATTTTTACTTTCATCTAGGCGTATATTCTGTTTATGTTAATGCACTGGAGAGAACTTGCATAGTGCCACAATCATGCCATGATGTGAGCACAGTTGTGACCAGCTTTATCCAGGACGGTCTCAGGCCATGTTTACACTAGTGACCTTACAGCGGCACAGCTGTACCAATGCAGTTGCACTGCTATAAGATCTCTCGTGTAGACACCCTATACCGACATAACACTGTGTACCCTAGTACTTATGCCGGCAGAACTTATACTGCTCGGGGGCTGTTGGGGTTTTTTTATCACCCTTGAGCAACGTAAGTTTTGCTGACATAAGTGGTAGCGTAGACACGGACTCAGTCATCTGGCTGAGTGGGCTACTCCCACCCAATAGGGCCTCCTCCTTATAAAGTACTTGTAAAGAATCTTCAAGGTGGAATTTCTTCATGTGAAGAGGAGTTCTGTAGCTTTGCCTCAAAAGTACTTTGTTGTGCAGCTCTCCAGAGGTATCTGCAGCAGATAGTAAGTGGAAAATCATTAGCCTGTGGCTAGGACTGACACAAGCCACTGTGCCTAGACATGTTTCAGAGTAGCAGCCGTGTTAGTCTGTATTCGCAAAAAGAAAAGGAGTACTTGTGGCACCTTAGAGACTAACCAATTTATCTGAGCATAAGCTTTCGTGGGCTACAGCTCACTTCATCGGATGCATAGAGTGGAAAGCTTATGCTCAAATAAATTTGTTAGTCTGTAAGGTGCCACAAGTACTCCTTTTAACCTCTAGTGTTTCTCTTATTTAATTGGCACCAGTCTACTCTAAAGCATCACACGAGATCACAAAGCGGGGGGGGGGGGAGCCAGAGATATGGCAGTAAAAGAAAAAGATTCATAAAAGCCAATTATCAGCTGAAGTATACCTGGTTTTGCTTGGTAGTGCCCTCTTTTGGTACCTGTCACTCATCCGCTAGGTAAGTGGGAGGGGAAACAGTATTTATTTAGCAAATCCTTCTTTCAACTCGCAAGGCAAGAGGTGAATTATCTGCCCTCCATTAGCCCAAAAATACAGGGAGAGGAAAACTCTATTCCTGCAACCTGCATAACCCTTAGCAGCCAAATCGGTAGTGTTACCCAGTGTATTCGCTGTGAAGTTCACGCTTATGCTCAAATAAATTTGTTAGTCTCTAAGGTGCCACAAGTCCTCCTTTTCTTTTTGCGAATACAGACTAACACGGCTGCTACTCTGAAACTAGAGGTTAAACATCACTTGTATTCACTGCAGGGTTTTTAAGCAGTCCTGGCCAGTCATGTTGGTTCTGCATGTTTTCCATGTGGTCAGTGCTAATGAAGGGGATGCTATACATAGGGGCTGCTATGAAATGACATTTCATTTTGAAGGTTGTTCATGGTTTCATAGAGCCACTGCCCCATTATATTCCATAAAAAAGTCAAACTTTTTAAAAGAGTAAAGTTCACCTTTAATTGTTTATAAAGAATACAAGGAAGAGCTCAGCATTTAATATCTTTACTGTAAAGCGTGGAAGCTTTATTGTGAGATCTGACAGCAGAATTTTCATAGCTGTACTCTGTTTTCCAAAGTCTCATATCTTGCTCAATCTACGCTGATTAACTTTGCTGACTACACCAAGACCAGACACATTTTATACAGAAAGGTGCCCCTGCCAACCCCGCAGAGAGTATGAAACAAACAGAGCATAGGAGTGGAGGGGACCCCCTGGCTCACTGAGTGCAGGCCCCTGCTACCGCAGAACCCCCCCCCCCCATATAATCCTATTTGTAAATGTATCAAGTTCTATCTTAAAATCCTTTATGCTCTCACTGCTCCTATTGCAAGGCTTTTCCAGAATCTCCCATCTCTGATGATTGGAAACCTAATTTCCAGCCTAAATTTACTCAGGGACAGAAGAGAGATTTATATCACACATTGGTCTTAAAATGGAAACAAACTTGTCTCTGGCATGGCTTCTCTATCATGGTAATATAAATGCCTGGCTCAAAGGGTTAATACAAGCTCTGCACTGATTAGAAGGAATTCATTTATAGGTCAACTCTCCTAATGGAGTCTTCTGCACAATACAGTCCTAGCAGAACGGCTCTGTGCTATAAGAAAAAGTAACTCTTTGTAAAAGGGGCAGCAGAATGACAGCTGGTGATCTGGCACAGAATGTTATAGTAGTACTCTTGCTTCGTATAAACTTATTTTTCTTCAAGTGATGGTCCCTGTTATATATCACTGAGGGGCTTATGCATGCGCACCATGTGTCTGGAGCTAGATAATTTGAAATTGATAATATCTTTCTTCAGCTGAAACTATAGGGAGACTTTACCAAGGGGGAATGTACCTTCCCACTGGGGTTCAAAACAGGCAAGTACTGTTAACAGTTCTGGAAAAGCACCACAGGACCCTTATTCTGGACAGATGCTGTTTAGAGCTCTGTGCACCACAGTCCCTTGACACCATTAGCTGGAATTCGTAGTGATTCACTGCCTGCAGCACCTATCTGGCTTTTCTAAGGGAATCAAAGGACTGAGCAAGCTTGGATTAGTGCTGCTTCAGACAGATTTGGTGAGAGTCCAGGTTATACATCAGGCCAATTACTTTATGGGACTCTCATTGGTCTCTAATATTTTATCATCTAGTTCTTCCCTGCATTATATCAAAAAGAGACTAACTTTGGCAGCCTGTGAATGAAAGAATAAAAGTCAGTGAAAAACACGCTCTTATCCAGAACATTTTGCTTAGAAATTTTATACCTAGAGAAAGAGTTGGCCTGCAGGTGCCACTGCTAGTGGCTAAGACTGCTTGTTACCCTGGCTCTGCCTCACTATGAGGAGGCCAGCAGTGCCAAGAATACTCAACTGCTTCACTAGCTGCACCACTGAGCTCTGGAAGATCCTGATGAAAGTTCATTTTTCTATCACATTGTGGAGTGAGAACCATGCTAATTTCATAACATGTCTAGGAGTCTCCCAACAGTGGCTGCCTCCCCAGCAGTGCCTGCTAGCTCACAGTCCATTTAATCAATATAGCCTCTCCCTTTGCAAAGATCTTTGCCATTACTTTGTAGGGCTGTGTGTAGCTAGATGCCTACCACTGTGCCATAGGCCAAACATGCCAGGAGCCTGCACGTGGCTTCCAGAAGCAGCCACTTCCTAGCGAGAGAACCTGCAGAGGCATGGACCTTCCAACAAGGAAGCCCAGTGCTAGTACTCAGCTCTCCAACAAGAAAGTCAAGCCGCTCTATATAAGAAGAGCTCTGAGGATGGTGAACTGCTGATCCAGCTGCTGGATTTGCACCAGTGCTTGGCCCTTGAAGGGTCAGTAGCACTTATCATTGAAGCCACCATCTGTAAAGCCAGCACTGAATCCATAAAGAACAAAATAGGAAGTGAGCACACACAAGAGCCAGAGCATTCAGTAACCCCTGGATTAACTGCACCACACCTGGGAGAAGAGGAGCAACTCAGTGAAATACACAATGCTGTGGGGCATGCCTCCCCTTCACTTCAGCCAGGCCTGACCTGTCCGCCCACCACTCTGGAGTGCCCGACCCTAGTTAGCTGACTCAGTTTGTAGCAGAGGCAGACGGGCCAAAAAGTCTGAGCTTAGCTCAGCTAGCACCTGGGGAGCCAGTGCCGAGTCTTTTCTAGTGCTTGGCCCAGCTCCAGCAGGGCTCTCAATCAGCTGGAGACTGTGAGCTCATGTTATAAACCAAAAAAAAAAAAAAAAGCTTCAAGATACTCCCATCTAGCCATAAACAAAGGCCAGGGGGTGTTATGCCCTCCAGCATGAGAACACATGCTCTACAGAATTTAGGTAAATGCCTGTCCACCCTGAGCTCTGCTCAGACAAGGACATGGCTATTTCTTGTTCCCTTGAGTTGTGTTGGGCCTCTATTACAGGGAGAGAAACAGCACAAACTGCCTTCCACACTGGCGAAACAGTGCAGGGGAAAAGCAGAGACAAGGGGAGGAAAAAAGCAACAGCACTAGCTTACACCAGAAATGGGTCTTCCTGCCCCTCTCACCCAAAGGATGTGGCCACCTGCCAAGCCAGCTGGCCAACTCTCCACATGTAGCAGAAGGGAAAAAGGGGGTGGGGGGGGGGGATATGTGCCTTTTGCCATCAAATACTGCCAGGCTCCAGCCATTCCCACAAGAGGGCCTGCTCCATCTATCTCCGGGCTGCCAGCCCTTCAGCTGAGCACCATACTCCCCATACCAGGAACCAAAAGCAACACCGCCGACACAGTGCCTCAGCATTCCCCTGGGGCTGAAGCAGCCATTGTTAGGGATGCCGATTTTGGGTGGATGTAGTCCTTGAGGTTCTCTCACATGACAATCTTTAATTAAAAATTAATCTTTAATTCCTGGAGACTCCAGGATACTCCTGGAGGATTGGCAGCCCTAGCCATTGTCACTCTTGAGGTTCAAATCTGTAGGGAGCCCTGGAGCACCTTCACTTTGGCCATTCAGCTAAGTGGTGAAGGTGGTGGGGACAGTGTCCTACCATAGTGGGATGAGTTATAGAAACTGTATTTAATAGGATGGTCTTCTCTTGTTGCCACTGTGATCCATTACATTCCCAGGCCTTCATCCCATTTCCCCATGGGTTGGTTACAGGCTCAATCCTAGGTGCTAATGAACATGTAAACCCCTTCCCCCGCTGCTGCTCCTGCTCTGCTAGGCTCCACACAGGCATGCAGCGCTCAGCTAATCATTAGGGTCACACTCCAGACAAGCTGTGAAGCTTCTACTGCCTGAGTGACGTCACTTTGCTTTATGGCAGTGGTTCTCAAACTTTTGTACTGGTGACCCCTTTCACACAGCAAGCCTTTGAGTGCGACCCCCTTATAAATTAAAAAACACTTTTTTATATATTAAACACCATTATAAATGCTGGATGCAAAGTGGGGTTTGGGGTGGAGGCTGACAGCTCGTGACCCCCCATGTAATAACCTCAGGACCCTCTGAGGGGTCCCAACCCCCAGTTTAAGAACCCCTGCTTTATGGGAACAATGGTTGGTGTTTGTCCTCACTCACCCTTCCGCTAATGATTGGGTTTGTAGAATCATTTTCTTATACGATCAATTACATTTAAAAAAAATAAGAACCATGGTTTAAAGGTGACACCCTGAAACGTGAGGAAGCACAGGCTCAGAGGAGAGCTAGTGGCAGGGTTTAGTGGCCGAACCTGGGCTCTCTTCCTATGTCATTCTCTCCTGCTCCCTGCACTCCTGTAGCAAGCAGCTGGGAATCAAAGTTGTTCAAACATGCAGCAATGGGAGGAGAGACGACGTCCCGTTGTGATTAAGGTCAAGTGAAAAGCTCAGTCTTAGCTAATGAACAAGGTATCTTGCCAAGCGCTGGTAGCTCTACCTTGTATGGGAGGAACGGGACTATGGCCAATGAGAGAGCTGGGACATCTTGCTTGAGCAGATCAGGAGATGGAGGGGTCCCTCTACTCCCAAGATACTGAGCTCAGCACAAGCAGTAAGCTAGTCACTGCTAACAGAGGCAGAGCCAAGGAGCAGATGTGGATTATGGAACTAAGAATGCATCTGTTCCACTCACATTCACAAGATTTAAATGTGAGGGCTGGTTAAGAGAAGCTTGGCTCTAGCTGGAGCTGTTCCCTCATGGTAGGGGTGCTTGTTGTGGCCATGGTCCTGTATTCTGATTGTAGCAGTGCAGATGCAACGTCCTGAGGCAGGGAAGAGGGGGCTGCCCCTTCTTGGCGTCCAGGCTGGCAGCCACAGAGAGAGATGAGGTGGTAGGACGGCTTGGCTATGAACAAGCCACCCTAAAACTCATACACTTCCACTGGCTTCTCTCTCAGCTGATGAGCTGTTTTGTATCCCCTGACAGCAAGGCCAGCACTGACCAAGAACACCACAATGGCAATGCAGCTAAAGAGCCCAGCTGCTATCTCTGCCCCATGCACACTGCAGCTGAATCCTTGGTAGCCTTTGCTTTGGTAGAGATTCTCTCTCTCTTTGCACACTGGAGAATCGTAGGCATCCAACAGAAGGTGGAAGTAGAAGTACAGAGCAGGCAGGAAGCCAAGTGCAATCAATATGTCCAGGGTGCATTCGAGCAGCAGCCAGGCTGGGAAATGCCATGGCAGCCGCAGCACACCAACCAAAACCAGAAGGCAAGAGAAGGCCATCAGGGCCCCTCCCACAGCCATTGCTGCTCTTGCTGTCGGCAGCTTTAATTGGTAGAACTGGGTGTCAAGTTGCTGGGCTTTTTCCCCCTCTGCCCCATCAAAGCCACTATAAGCCCCTCCATACTGGTAGTAGTAAATGCCCCCCAAGTTGGGAATGCCGGTGTAACCGCCTGTTGAGCTGTAGGACACAGAGCTGCAGATCAGGATCAGCATGGTCAGCAGAACTTCCACCAGCTGGCAGCAAGCTGCAAAGATGAACAATTCAAAGGCCAGTTAGCAGTGGGTCTCTTATTGAGAAGGTCCTGCACCCCCCATAACTATAAGAGGGCTGGCTTCTCTCGCAGCAACACAGGGGCATGAGGGAGGGTTTGCCTGTTGCTGACCATGAAGTAAGTAGTTGAAGCTCCCTTTCACTGAGAGAAAGATGACCACGGGACAACATGCAAGGCCCACCTTTTCCTCACCAGTTTCCTGATGACATTAACCTGTGCATTTTCCCATGACTTCAAAGCCCAACTTTTTCCTTAGGTGTCTGATGACAGGGCAGATATACAGCCATACAGCATAGTGGGGAACTACTCCTCACAGTCCTACTGTTGTTTCAATTGTTGTTGAAATACCTGGAGCTCTGGAGAGGGGCTTGCAATTGTTACAAATCCAAATAAATCAAGCAGCTTGATTAATACAAGAGCTCCTCACCTGCCCTCTGAATGCGGGGGGCAGACCAGAAGGAGAAGCCAAGTTCCAGCCAATCTGCTTTAGGAGGGAGAAGGAGAGACTATTTTGCTTTGATCTTTATATTTTAAGGGCCTTTTTTCTTACGTGCTGAGCACCCACAACTTCAGATAAATCCATGGGTCCTGCAGGCACTCTCATGCTGAGGGGTGTGACACAGCTACCTTGACAGACAGGATCAACAACTCACTAATGCAAACAAGCCAGCAGCCCCAGAGCACGAAATAAGGCAGCTTTTAGCAGGCTCTGAAAATCTAATTTGTTTTTAACTTGCTTTAAACCCCATGAGGCACACAGCCTTACCAAGGGGCATCCCTTATCACCACTGTATGCCATGGACAGGACAAGCCTCACATCTTTGCAAAGCACTCAGCCACTTAGGGGTGCAAATGAAGAATCCATCTGAGGCAGGGCCAGCAGGGAACAGCCTGTATTCCAAAGCTAGGGAAGGGCCAATTGGCTGGCTGGCTGGCAGGCGGGGAACATGCTATACCCCTAGCCTTCTCTCTCCCCGAACATTCAGAGCCAGCAGTAGCTGCACATGCTACTGGATTCAATTAGCCGCCTTCAGCGTCCATGGTGGTATACGGCAAATTAACTGTGCCAAACATCTCAGCCCCTGTACCCAAAAACTGGCAGTCTATGCACTTGCTCCAGTGGAGGGAAGAGTCTTAGGAGTGAAGGGTGCACAGAAATTTCACCCTCACCCCTACTAAACCAGCATAAAGGAACTTGGTCATACACCCTCTAAACTGTCCAGTCAGAGAAGGCAGCAGAGAGCCCATGTGATGGTTCAGTACTGGGTGCAGACCCTGACTTTACCCCTAAGCATTACATGACACCGGTGGAGGATACGGGAGGCTAGTTGCTGTGCGAGGCTGGATTTGCTGTAAAACAGTATGAAGGAGAAAAGGGGCAGCTTTTTAAAGTAGGAGACTTGACAGCAACTTGACTCTTTCGGAGCAACTAACTCACTCATGCAAAGGCACCAAAACCCTCCCCCATTCCATGCTCCCAGGCAGGTTTCTGGAGGAGTTTTATTGCACTGATACAGGGCAAAGTTCCATCATCCACTGATACAACCCCTTTTATGAGCTTGTAATAACTACCTGACACCCTTTATCTAGCTTCCTCTGTTCTCGCTCAGCATCAACAGCAAATCCCATTCCTGCTGCTCTGCTGCTCCCTGTAGGTTGATGCCTACCACCAAGTCACCACAGTAAAGAGCCATATGCAGCTGACCAGAGCCCTCACCTCAATAACCCACACTCAGCTCAAGGCATGAGCTAGAGTAATAGTTCACCAGCCACAGGCCCAACCTCCTTGCCCTTCTGCCCTAGCCCCGGGATCAGCACGTGAACAGCTCTCCTGGAATCAAGTGTTGTCTTTGTTTCAGAGGATTTGGGACTATTGGAATGAGGAAGATCCCCAGCTGGCAAGATGCATCCCAGCTATGGACCTTGCTGCAGGCATGGCCATCTCCGGGGCCTAAAGTGCGCTGGGTTCAAATGGGTATGTGTACACACATAGGTTAAAGAGCACTGGGTTGAAGTGGGTCTGTGTACATACACACACACACACACACAGGATGAAGTGGGTCTGTGTACACACACACACACACACACACACAGAGGTTGAAGTCCACTGAGTTGCAGTAGGTCTGTGTATGCACAGATTCAGAGATTCCAAAGACAGAAGGGACCGCTGCAATCAGGATAAAGTGCACCCACCCACACTCTCACACACACAAGTTAAAATGCACTGCGTTACGTATACACACACGGGGAAAGTGTGTTGGGTTACAGTGGTTTGTACACACACACAAATAGTAAGTGTGCCAGGTTACACCGGGTTTGTACCCCGACACACACACGGTGAGTGCGTCGGGTTACAGTGGGTTTGCATACACACACACGGTGAGTGCGTCGGGTTACAGTGGGTTTGCATACACACACAAGGTAAGTGTGCCAGGTTACAATGGATTTGCGCACACACACACAGGGTAAGTGTGCCAGGTTACAGGGGTTTGTACACACACACACAGGGTAAGTATGTTAGGTTAGGTCCTAGCCCCTGAAATCAAATGTCTGAAAAGGAGTAGGGTTGCTGAGGCAAGCAGGTTGCTAGCACCACCTGTGGGGACTCTCCTCTGATTGGCTGTTTTCTCCACTGTCCCACATCCTGAGCTACAGCAGCCAATCAGGGCTCCCCCCTGGAGCAGACCTCATTCTCCCAGGTGGAGCTGGGGGAACAGGACAAACCCAGCTCAAAGTGGCTCCTCTCCCCCTACCCTGCCTGGGAGCAATGGGATGGTTCCTCCAAGTTTGCAGATGACACTAAACTGGGAGGAGTGGTAGATACGCTGGAGGGTAGGGATAGGATACAGAGGGCCCTAGACAAATTGGAGGATTGGGCCAAAAGAAATCTGATGAGGTTCAATAAGGATAAGTGCAGAGTCTTGCACTTAGGAAGGACGAATCCTATGCACTGCTATAGATCAGGGACCGAGTGGCTAGGAAGCAGTGTTGCAGAAAAGGATGTAGGGGTTACAGTGGATGAGAAGCTGGATGAGAGTCAACAGTGTGCCCTTGTTGCCAAGGCTAATGGCATTTTGGGCTGTATAAGTAGGGGCATTGCCAGCAGATAGAGGGATGTGATCATTCCCCTCTATTCGGCATTGGTGAGGCCTCATCTGGAGTACTGTGTCCAGTTTTGGGCCACACACTATAAGAAGGATGTGGAAAAATTGGAAAGAGTCCAGCGAAGGGCAACAAAAATGATTAGGGGACTGGAAACATGACTTATGAGGAGAGGCTGAGGGAACTGGGATTATTTAGTCTGCAGAAGAGAAGAATGAGGGGGGATTTGATAGTTGCTTTCAACTACCTGAAAGGGGGTTCCAAAGAGGATGGACCTAGACTGTTCTCAGTGAGAGCTGAGAACAGAACAAGGAGTAATCGTCTCAAGTTGCAGTGGGGAGGTTTAGGTTGGATATTAGGAAAAACTTTTTCACTAGGAGGGTGGTGAAACACTGGAATGGGTTACCTAGGGAGGTGGTGGAATCTCCTTCCTTAGATATTTTTAAGGTCAGGCTTGACAAAGCCCTGGCTGGGATGATTTAGTTGGGGATTGGTCCTGCTTTGAGCAGGGGGTGGGACTAGATGACCTCCTGAGGTCCCTTCCAACCCTGATATTCTATGATTCCCCTCCTACCCCGTGCTCCCCACAGCACCCAGCCCGGGAAGGGAGAGAAGGGACCAGCTGCAGCCAGCCCCAGGCGAGGGGTGAAGAGCAGAGGCCAGATGGGGGAGAACTGATGAGGAGTGGGGGGGGAACAGGGTTCATTTGGGGGCAGAATTAACTGCTGGGCTGGGGAATGGGCTGTCTGGAGTGATGACAGACCAACTCCCCAATACATGTCAGACCACATTAAGCGCTGGTGTTTCCTGGGGCACCACATCACCAGGGCCAGGTGCTGACAAACTCTCATCCTGTCCCAGGACGCACGTCCAGCTACCGACCAGGGGCACGGAGGGAACTGGCAGGTGCCTCCGTCCAACCTCACCAGGACTAACAGCCAAGAGGCAGCAGGGGCACAGGCAGCAGACCCCTCCCCTCCCCACACACACTTTAGACAGGACACCTGGCACCCTCAGCCCCCAGACAGGGCCCTGTGCACTATGGGAATTAGTGCAGAGCGTCCGCTGGGTGGCAGAGGCAGGTGAGTCTCACCTCTGGCTGTGCAGAGGTAGCGGCACTGGTAACACTCCAGCAGGCCTGACGGCTCCGCCTGGTAGCACTCCGGCCTCTCGCAGCTGGTTCCACGTTTCGGGGATGGCAACACAGGAGGGTGCTCCTCACTGCAACCAAACACAGACTCAGAGACAGCGGCTGACCTGGCAGGGGGTCAAAGCAGGTGGGGGAGAGTGGGATGGGAGAGGGGCTGGGGCAAAGGGGGCCAGAAGCCATGAATAAGGGGCAGGTCTGAGGAGCACAGGGATGGGGGACAGAGAGGAGAGCCAAGGCTGGGGGTCAGAGGGTGCTGGGAAAGAGGCAAGTTAGGAGGAAGAAGAAGATGGGCTGGGGCAGTGTGGGGAGATGTTGGGGGCGGGGGTGCTGGCAGGAGGTGGCTGGGGGATGGCTGGTAGCAGGACTGAGAGGCTAGGGGCACTGTGGGGGACAGGGCTGAGGGGGGCTGAGGGCAGGGCTAGTGGGAGAGCTGGATGGAGGCAGGTGCAGGGGGTTGGGCAGGTGGAGGGGAAGTGAGGGATGGGTCAGAGAGTAGGGCAGGTGCTGGGGGGAAGTTGGGGCAGGTGAAGGGGTGGGGGGGCAGAGTTTAGGGCAGGTGGGGGGCACTGGGGAGGTGATGAGAGGAGGGGGTGGGGGGGAGGGGCAGGTGGCCAGTGGAGAGGGAGTTCTGGGGGGGCACTGGGAGGCAGAGGTCATGGGCGGGCAGGTGGGGAGAGCTGGAGGGGGGCAGTGGGGGTGGGGACAGAGGGTGGGGGGGCAGGGGGCCCTGGGATGAGGTAGGAGGGGAGGAGAGGGCAGGGAAGGGGGGTGGGGGCAGACTGGGGGCAGGAAGCAGGCAGGTGGGGGGGGGGGGGGGGGGGGGCGAGGGGGTGGGGGGGGGGGGGGGGGGCTGGGGGGGTGGGGGGGAGGGGGACGGGGGTGGGGGCAGGAGGCAGGCAGGTGGGGGGGCAGGGGGCCACAGGATGGGGCAGGAGGGGAGGCGAGGGCTGGGAACGGGGGTGGGGACAGACTGGGGGCAGGTGGGGGGGGGGGGCTGGGAACGGGGGTGGGGACAGACTGGGGGCAGGTGGGGGGCAGGAGGGGAGGCGAGGGCTGGGAACGGGGGTGGGGGCAGGCGGGGGCCCTGGGATGGGGCGGGGAAAGGCGGGGGGGGCAGCTGTAGGTCGCGCCGGGCGCCGCCCCGCTCTCACCGGCCGGGCCGGGGGCCCCTGGGGGGGCCGCTCACCGCGCGCGCCCCGCCCGGCTGCCGGCGGCTCCTGCGCTCGCGCTCCGCCATCTCGGGCCGGGCGGCGGGAGACTCGGCCCCCGCCGGGGCGGGGCGGGCGCGTGAGGGCGGCGCCCGAGGCAGAGGCAGAGGCGGGCGGCGTTGGCGGGCCCGGCCTGGCGCCGGAGCCTGCGGCTGACAGGGGTTCGAGACCCGCTGCGGATGACTCGTCGCCAGAGGGGGGCCCAGGCGAGAAACCCGCAGAGCTGGCCCCTGCTCCGCCCGCCCGGCCCCGGCCCCGGCCCCGGCCCCGGCCACTCGCGCCCCTGCTCCGCCCGCCCGGCCCCGGCCCCCGCCCCTCTCCGCCCGCCCGGCCCCGGCCACTCGCGCCCCTGCCCTCCGCCCGCCCGGCCCCGGCCACTCGCGCCCCGGCCGCCCCACGCCCAGGGTTCCGGGCCCCGCAGCGGCCTGGAGCTCGGGGCCAAACCCGCTCCCCGAGCTCCGGCCTGAGCCACGGCGTCCACAGGACTAGTTTTAATTTCCCTGGTCGAGCCCTGCGAGCCCGAGTCCGTAGACCCGGCCTCCGAGGCGCTCTGCCGCGGGTGGGTTTGTTCTGCTGTCTCCACAAGCCCCTTGGCCCTTCCTGTGGCGACAGGAGGGGCTGGCTTCACCCTGGGGGCCCTGTTGCATGAGTTTAGGTGGGCGGTGTGGGGATCATCCGGTCCCTGTCCAGCATTAAACCGTGTTCAGCAAGGTCTGCGTTGTCGACAGAGCCCTCAGCGGCTTAGTCCCGTGGTAAACGCAGCATTAAAATCCTTTCAGTGGTTGTTGTAATACAGAGAAGAAGGAAAAAAGTTAAATCATTTGAAATGTAAAGTATTAAGTAAGACTTTCATTTTAACAACATGCCTTGTTCTCTTTCCCTTCAGCTGGAGAATTATTAGAAGGGAAAGCCCTTGTTTGACAGCCTTTTAGAAAGGTGGCGTCAAAGATGGCAATAGCTGTCCTTCGGGGGAAAAGATACGTTCGTTGTCATGGGCTGGAGCTGCTGCTGCTGTTAAAATCTGATCCTGTTTCATCTCAGGTGGTGGTTGGGGTTCAGCTGGAGCCAGTCGGGGTGGCAAAGTCATCTGAACCCTCTCTCTGGCCTGTCTGGTCAGGACATTGCTCAGGATGATGAAGTCCCAGGAAACGGTAGGGGTGGCAGCTAAGAAATTGAAGCTCACTCTAGTAGCCTCCATCTGTTCTACCCAATTTTCCCCCCAAAGTCTTTCTTTAAGGACCCACAAAGGGAAAGGTCGGTGGAATAGCCCGTCGCCCAGAGGTGAAAGTAAGCCGGTACGCCCCAGAGTGACGCACCGGGACCGGCTTTCCCAGACGGCAATTTAAAGCCCTGGGATAGTGGCGGCGGGGCTCCTGCGGGGATTTAAAGGGCCCCGGAGCTCCAGATGCCGCCACCGTCCTTGCCCTTTAAATCCCCGCCGGAGCCCTGCTGCCGAAGCTCTAAGGTAGTGGCGGCAGGGCTCGGGAGGGGATTTAAAGGGCTGGGGCGGTAGCGGCTGCCGGAGCCCCAAGCCCTTTAAATCCCCGCCTGAGCCCTGCTGCCCGAGCCCTGGAGTAGTGGTGGCAGGGCTTCGGCGGGGATTTAAAGGGCCCCGGAGCTCCAGCCACCTCTTCCGCCCCGGCCCTTTAAATTCGTGCCAAAGCCCTGCTGCCGAAGCCCCGGGGTAGTGGCAGTGGGGCTCCAGGGGGGATTTAAAGGGCCAGGGCGGTAGCGGCGGCTGGAGCCCTGGGGCCCTTTAAATTCCCGATGGAGCCCGGCCGCTGCTACCCCTGGGCTCAGGCAGCAGGGCTCAGGCGGGGATTCAAAGGGCTCAAGGTTCTAGTAGCCACTACCACAGCGGAGCCCCAGGCCCTTTAAATGGCCCCCAAGTCCCGGGCCTTCCAGCCACCTCTGCAGCTGATAGCTTGGGGGTGATTTAAAGGGCCCCGGTCTCCCAGCCGCCACTACCGCAGCTGGAGCCTCGGGCCCTTTAAATCAGTATTTAAAGGGCCCGGGGATTTAAGGCCCTGCCTCTTCTGGTTGAGGCCACGCCCCCTGCTCAGGACTCTGGCATACCGGTACGTCCTCTAACTTACTTTCACCCCTGCCATCACCTCATTATTTTGCCCACCAATTAGGCCTAATATCTGACACACCAATTTTGGTTCATTAATTTCTGGTTCCACATCTTCTGTTTTTACCAAGCACGATCTTAACACAGTCCTTGAGTTATAACAACAGATCTTTTCAGCACCTTTTCCCATCAACAGTTGTTGTTACAGGTTATTGTGGCATCTTAGGAACTTTCACATAGTTTTTACAGTCAAGCTAACAATTAATGTAAATTTCTAGGTCCAATTATCACAAGAGTCCATTGCTTCATTTCCTTTTCTGGGGCTGGCAATGATTGTCAGGGAGGTGCAGAAAATGCAACCCCATGAGAGATTCATGGAGACGGGGGCCATTTCATGCCTTTGGTCTTCTAGAGCAGGAATGGCCAACCTGTGGCTCCGGAGCCACAGGCGGCTCTTCAGAGTTAATATGCGGCTCCTTGTATAGGCACCGACTCCAGGGATGGAGCTACAGGTGCCAACTTTCCAATGTGCCGGGGGATGCTCGCTGCTCATCCCCTGGCTCTGCACAGGCCCTGCCCCACTCCACCCCTTGCCCTCGCACCCCCGCCCCCCGAGCCTTCTGCACGCCACGAAACAGCTGATGGGGAGGGAAGGGGAGGCACTGATTGGCGGGGCTGCTGGTGGATGGGAGGCGCTGGGAGCAGGAGGGGAGCTGATGGGGGGCTGCTGACGTATCACTGTGGCTCTTTGGCAATGTACATTGGTAAATTCTGGCTCCTTCTGAGGCTCAGGTTGGCCACCCCTGTTCTAGAGCAAACTGCAGCAGTGTAGACTGTGCTACAGTAAGTAGCCTTGAAAACAGAATAGCTTTCACAGCCCAGGCAGGTCTAAGGGCGCTTTGTAAACACCTCACATCTGCCCACGGTTTGCAGGGCAAAAGACCAGCAAACTCACCAGGCCATGACTCTTAGGGAAATGCTGCCCCACCTGGGATGGAAGGAGAGAAGTGCAGAGACCTTCGTGTTCCAGCTCAGCTGGGATATAGCTGTGGTGAGGTAGGGAGGAAGTGCCAGATGGAGAGGGCATAGGGGAAGCTGTGAGGCTGGGAGGGAGTGCAGGCTGGAGAAGGGCATGGGGGGCAATGAAGTGGGGAGACAGTGCCAGATGGGGAGGGGGAAGGAGGAGGTGGTCTGAGGGGAGAGAAAGGCGTGCCAACCGGGAAGGGGTGATATTTTAGTTCTTGTTCTTGCTTTGGCATTCTCTCTGATTCTCCTTTTCCACATTGCTTCTGTTCTTGCTTCTTCACTAGGTGCCTTTTGTCAATGAGGGAGCTCAGCTCAGCTCAGCTCAGCTCTGGCCCTGCCCTGCCCTGCCCTTAGGTGAGAGCGCTGACCTGGTGCAGTAATTGGGATAGACACCCTGTGTTGCAAACCAGAGAGGAAGCAATAGAATGAAATGCCCAGTCTCTTCTTTCTGTGGTGGTTCCAGTGCGAGGCAGCCAGGAGCCTTTCGTTTGGACGTTCCATAACGTCATAGCAAGATGTTCCAACTGTCTCTTGTAAATAAATAATCATAGGAACAATGAATGCAATATGACAACCTCCCACCACACACAGCACCTCCGTCCCACTGCACCTCTCTCCCTCCCAATCCCCAGCTCCGTTGGTTATTTACTCAGTGTGGAATGTGCAACAGCATGAAACACTAACGTAGTAAATCAAAAACAGGAAACATAATTACCTAATATTTGCTTTGATGTAAAGGCAGAACAAGGAGAGACTTTTCCCCACAAAGGACAGTGACACCGGAGATGTTCCCAATAGCACTTCCTGCTGCTGGGCAGCTTTGAGAGTCTACAAAACACAACAACTCTAATAATGAGCACACCTCATCAATTCATGCCCTCTCAGTCAGTCAGGGCTTTTGATTGTCCTCCACCCCAAGATCCTCTCTCTAACTACAGGTATCATCTTGGGTGCCATCAGAGTGCCAGTGAGTTGAGCACACTGATTGCCTGGTGACCCTACAGCTCCTCCAGCACTGGGAGGAAGAGCTGGGGTGGAAAGGGATTGGAATCAAACCCCCTGTTGCACCAGCAAGTGCTTTCAGCTCCTGGGAGAGTCTGGGGTGAGGGCAGGGAGTTAAGTCCCGAAGTGTTGCAGTAATCTTAGTGCCCATAGCTCACTTGAATCTGCTCCGCTACTCCCAGACCCATACACACGGTGTAGAGTTCAATGGCCACCGAAACAACAGACCTGCATTCCCCTGAGCAGCTTATCTGAGGCCTGCTTGCTGCTGCTGCATAAACTGGGCAGAAACTCTAAGCAATGGGCTCTCATTTTAATGCAGCAGAAGTTAAGTGTGGTCTCCTTGTCAGTCTGAAGAGACAGACATTCTCTGGAAGGCTTTTTGTGGCCTCCTTTAGAGCTTAGCCTTGGGTTAATATAAACAACAACTATCTTCTCATGGCTGAAATCAGAATGCCTGATTTTTGCCTCTGTCTTCACGAACAAGGTCAGCTCCCAGACTGCTGCACTGGGCATCACAACATGGGAAATAGATGGCCAGCCCTTTGTGGAGAAAGAGGTGGTTAGGGACTATTTAGAAAAGCTGGACGTGCACAAGTCCATGGGGCCGGACGAGTTGCATCCGAGAGTGCTAAAGGAATTGGCGGCTGTGATTGCAGAGCCATTGGCCATTATCTTTGAAAACTCGTGGCGAACGGGGGAAGTCCCAGATGACTGGAAAAAGGCTAATGTAGTGCCAATCTTTAAAAAAGGGAAGAAGGAGGATCCTGGGAACTACAGGCCAGTCAGCCTCACCTCAGTCCCTGGAAAAATCATGGAGCAGGTCCTCAAAGAATCAATCCTGAAGCACTTACATGAGAGGAAAGTGATCAGGAACAGTCAGCATGGATTCAACAAGGGAAGGTCATGCCTGACTAATCTAATCGCCTTCTATGATGAGATTACTGGTTCTGTGGATGAAGGGAAAGCAGTGGATGTATTGTTTCTTGACTTTAGCAAAGCTTTTGACACGGTCTCCCACAGTATTCTTGTCAGCAAGTTAAAGAAGTAGGGGCTGGATGAATGCACTATAAGGTGGGTAGAAAGCTGGCTAGATTGTCGGGTTCAACGGGTAGTGATCAATGGCTCCATGTCTAGTTGACAGCCGGTGTCAAGTGGAGTGCCCCAGGGGTCGGTCCTGGGGCCGGTTTTGTTCAATATCTTCATAAATGATCTGGAGGATGGTGTGGATTGCACTCTCAGCAAATTTGCGGATGATACTAAACTGGGAGGTGTGGTAGATACGCTGGAGGGCAGAGATAGGATACAGAGGGACCTAGACAAATTGGAGGATTGGGCCAAAAGAAGTCTGATGAGGTTCAATAAGGATAAGTGCAGGGTCCTGCACTAAGGACGGAAGAACCCAACGCACAGCTACAGACTAGGGACCAAATGGCTAGGCAGCAGTTCTGCGGAAAAGGACCTAGGGGTGACAGTGGACGAGAAGCTGGATATGAGTCAGCAGTGTGCCCTTGTTGCCAAGAAGGCCAGTGGCATTTTGGGATGTATAAGTAGGGGCATTGCCAGCAGATAGAGGGATGTGATCATTCCCCTCCATTCGACATTGGTGAGGCCTCATCTGGAGTACTGTGTCCAGTTTTGGGCCCCACACTACAAGAAGGATGTGGATAAATTGGAGAGAGTCCAGCGAAGGGCAACAAAAATTATTAGGGGTCTGGAACACATGACTTATGAGGAGAGGCTGTGGGAGCTGGGATTGTTTAGTCTGCAGAAGAGAAGAATGAGGGGGGATTTGATAGCTGCTTTCAACTACCTGAGAGGTGGTTCCAGAGAGGATGGTTCTAGACTATTCTCAGTGGTAGAAGAGGACAGGACAAGGAGTAATGGTCTCAAGTTGCAGTGGGGGAGGTTTAGGTTGGATATTAGGAAAAACTTTTTCACTAGGAGGGTGGTGAAACACTAGAATGCGTTACCTAGGGAGGTGGTAGAATCTCCTTCCTTAGAAGTTTTTAAGGTCAGGCTTGACAAAGCCCTGGCTGGGATGATTTA